AAAAAGCTGCTGGGCAGGGAGGGGTGAAACACGGCTCATTTGCTGAGTAATGCCAGAAGTGGCTGGGGTCTCGTCCCAAAATCTGGATGGTGAGCGTGTAGGTGTGGGTGTCACGAATAAATCAAGTTCCTTTGCCCTTCTTCTGAATTTTATGAGCTCCAGACCCTGGATTAGATGATGTTGGGTTCTTAATTTCTGGAGCATGCCTTGAGTTGAGCTGGATCTTGCAGAGGTGCCACGAAGTCTCCCTGTCTCCTGCTCCGGGATTTTGCCCTAAAATTCTCATTTTGCCTATTAATTAACATGTAAAACCTTCAGTTTCCCCTTTGCGTGTCCTGATGGGGATGAGGCTTTTGGCTGCACTCTGGCTCTGGGAGGCAGTGACCATCACCAGAAATTCATTTAATTAAGCTCAATGAGTGGCTGGCTTTTGGGTTGCAATGGAAAATATCCTGAATTACGCTGGATTCGGTACCTCTGTATGCCTGCATCATCAGTTACATCATTTTTCTTATATATTTGAATACTCAGCACCAAACCAGCAAGAGACTGATTGATCTGCCACCAGAGTCTAGGAACAGGATTAATATCACCTGGCTGGGATATAGGGAGCCCACACTCTGCTTGCCTCTGACCCAGCGGGGAAAAAACACATCGGAGGAGAAAAATCTGGCATTTGCCCCACGCCAGGCACCGCAGCCTTTGGGGCAGTGTTTGCAAAGCTTTCGGACATCCTTCCGCAGGGGAAGTCGGGCTGGGTGTACCCAAGAGCTGTTCTGCCCTGTGTAAACCCCACAAATCTCCGACCCAGCACCCGGGCGCTGCCGTCCCCACCATGAGAAGGTGGCTCCAACATGAATAATTGCTTCGCTGGAGCTAGGCCGGCCCGTTTTCCTGGTTAGCCCAGCCATTTATTCTCAGGGGAATAAATGCCCCCACCCAAGCTCTGTTTGCAGAGGGATTGCCCTAATCCCTCCGCTTTCCGCCGCGGCGCGCGGAGGACCCCTTTTGTGTTCACCTGCCCATGGAAAAGTACCGCGGGAACCCGTGCCGAGCTGCCCCTTTCCCTGTTTTTGTCCATGGGCTCTGCTCAGCCCTGGGGGGTTGCACAGCCTCGAGCAACAGGATGCTGAAAAAAAAAATACTAAAAAAATTGGCTTTTCTGCAAATCTCATCGCTGCAAAAGGCTCCGAATGCCAGGAATTGCTGGGGAGCCCGTGCGTGGCTGATAGCTCTTGGAAACCTAAATCACAGTGCTGGAAAAAGAGAAAGTGGGGGAAGAACTGGGCAAAAGCAGCCTCTGCAGCAGCACGAGCATCCTCCCCCAGCTCCTTATCGCCCCTCCTTGTTATTAGCACGGAGCAGAGGACATGATGGCTTTGCACCAATTTTTTTGCTATTGCTGATAGCGCGTTATTGTGCACCACTTGCGAGCAGAGGGGGCCTTTTGTTTTTTTTTGCAGGGACACTGAGTGCATGCCCTGATGTCCCTGAGGGTCATGGAGTGTTGCTGAGTTTTGGGACCATAGTGAGGTGACCACAGGTGACACACGTGGTGTCCTCTTTTGGGACTTCCCTCTTTTGGGGATAAAGCAGCAAACCTAGAGCTGTGGGAACCAGGCACATGGCTCTGAAATCTTTTCTCCTTTCACTTTTTTTCCAAAACTAGAGCTTCCCAACACAAGCCCAACCCATTTATTCTTCGTTCTCAGCTCTTTTTCCTGTACAAATACTTCTCTCCTGACTTTCTCTTCTGGAAGCAGGCTGCCGTAAATTACCGCAGGCAGATGTCTTCAGGAGCGCTTCCACTCCTGTCTGCTTGGATTGCTCCCTGCCTTCAGCTGTTCTTAATAAACGGTGCCCAGCCCGTAATAAAAGAAAGAGCAGGAATGTGCCTTGCAGTTTAGTGAAAGGCAACGAAGGAATTTCCCATGGGAATGCCACACGAGCCAATCTGGAAAGCTGCATTTCACCACATCTCCAAAGGGCACTTAAATACATTTATTTTCCTGTTTTTTTTTTTTTTTTTTTTCCCCTTTCATTTTCTCTCCCCTTCGGTTCTTCATTGCAGTGAAAATCACCTGGACACCCATCACTTATCCAGGACCCCATAGATGCGTGACCCACGTGGCAGCATCCGTCTGGGCGGGCTGAAATCTCAGCCCTTTGGCCAAAACGCTCCTGCTGCAGATATTAGTGGTTCTCGTTTTCCCAGGGCAACCAGTCCAAGCGGACGGTGAAGCCAGCTGGACCAGAGCATCCCTGGGTTTTGGCGGTGGCAATCTCATGGCCTGGAGCAGCTGCCTCGGGGCAGCACTTAGCAATGGGCTGCGGGACTCCCTGCCGCAGGACACCCTTGCTGCTGAGGCTCGAGCTGGATTAGAGAGAGCTTAAGTGTTTCTGTGGACAGCGAGAGCATCCAGAATAAGAATAGTAAATATTGAAAATCCTCGAGGGTTTTGAAGAGCTCTAAAGCCTTGTGCTTTGTGGCTTTGCTTGCCTCGCTCCTTGGGAAGCATCCGCGCTCCCCAAAAGCCATCGCGGTGCGCGCTGCTGGGAGCATTTCGGCACCTCCCTCCACAGCACCCTCCTGACACCTGGGCACCAAAACTGGGGGAAACGCGGTCCTACACAGCCTGGCACCTCGGGTGTCCTCACACGGTGCATCCCCTGCTTAGCTCCCTGCAGCTAACTCGTTCCCACTGCTCTGGTTTCCAAATGTTGCGTGGGTCAAGCCAAAGATTTTCCTTGGCCCCATTCCCACGCCTTCTCGCCAAGTGTGCGGTTTATTGCATGCAAATGTTAGTCAACAGCTACATTATCCAAAGGCAGCCCTATTTTTCTATCTCTCTCTTTTTTTTTTTTTTTTTTTTAGCTTTCAGTAAATGCTTTGGCACAAACAAGTGTAAATGTTATGTCAGCATTAGACAGCGTTTAATCTTGATGGATATGTTAGTGGTGGAGCGTGACACCCATCGGCAGACGTTAAATGATGCTTTCTCTTTCTGGTCGCGCACAAACAGGAGTTCTGCTTCGTTAAGGCTGATTAAAACTCCGTGTCTCTGTAGTTTGGGTGGGATTTTTCTTTTCTGTGTTAATCGAGGGGCTATTTATCACCGGGGAAGCCTGCCATCTCGTTCCCCTTGTGGGGAGTGCTTCACACTCTTGGATTATTCGGTTATCAAAATGTTACAGCCCTTTTTTTTTTGTCCTTCTGCTTTGTGCTTGAAAAAAAAAAAAAAAAGGAGAAAAACAAACAGTAAGTCTCTGTAAAGAAAGCATCAGGAGACTGCAGAGGATAAGGGCAGAGGCTGGGAGGGGAAAAAAAGCTCTTGGCAGGGTTTGGGCAGGGAGGAGAGCTGGCATCCAGCCCTGGGACCACAGATTGTCCCTGCATGGTGACAAGTGGTCCCGAGGGGGAACGTGCACGCCAGCAGCTCCCCAGCATCACTGTTGGGTTTTGGGGTCCTGCTGAGGCAAACACTGCTTGTTTGCACCTAGGGGATTGAGGACAGGGCCAGAAATCAAAGCTGGGATCGGTGCTTTGGGCAGTGTTTGTAGGGGATTGTGCTTAAATTGTGGGATTGCAGGTAATTTGGGGTGGTAAAGAAAGTGTTTTTGCTGTGTAAGCTCTTCCTTTGGGGAAATGTTCACCTGCTTTGTGCTCATCAGATTTAAGACTTAAGGCAGTAAATGAGATTAGGGGATGCTCAGTAGTATCTGGCTGGGCAAGTGATGGAGCAGAGTTTGGTGCTGAGGCCCTACAAATTGGGACGAGCAGGGATTTGCTGGTGGCAATTTTGGTGCAAGTGGCATTTTTGTGAGGTGGGGCAGCCGGGGTGATTTCATGGCAGAAACAGGGATTAGAGGAAAATCCCAACCCGGAGCAAGGAACCAACAGAGGCGACTTGTTCTTAATAAAGATTCTGCGTTCTTTATTCCAAAGGACAATGCACATCGGATAAAATAGTATCAAAAAATATGTACAAAAATAGCAACTATTTGCACTGGTCTTTATATCAGCAAAGTTAGGTATGAGCAGGTGGCTGCTGAAGCAATGAGTGGGTGCTTTACTGGTCATAAACCACGAACGCAAAAAAAACAAAATAGCTACAAACATTTTCCCAAAGAGCTGTCCAGCAAGGCGAGTTTCTCTCCGTTTTTCCCAGCTGTGAAGAAAAAGGGGCCCAGTTTGGTCCTTCCCAGCAAAACAGCATCCCCATCCTGTCCTGGCTACGGGGTCAGCCCCGTCCTTTTCCCTCTCTGGGTGCAATTCAGTTTGGGGGTGTCTGCAGATTTTCTTCTGGTGCATTTAGTGCAAACATCACGTCTCCAAGTTGCTTTCGGCAGCATCCCAAGGGTGGATTTGGGCAGGACGTCCTCCCCCAGTGCTCGGGTGCCAGGAGCTTGGGGGGCTTGGCTTGGAGGCCACAAGGGCTCTTTTGTTCCCAGCAATGGGCGAGCAAAGTGGATAAGCAGCGGGGCTGAGCTGGACACACATTGCAACAGAGCCAGGGGATTTTGAAAAACAGCCTCTGAGAGCAAGAGCTGGGAGAAAAGCTTATCTCAAGATATTAGGAGTTACTTTTGGATAATTAAGAAAGCGAGCGGTTGTCCTTCAGTTGGGGCCAACGGCTTTTATGGCACTAGCAACTGAATATCCACCGCAAAGGGCTCATTTTGCACGTTCTCCTCTCTCTGCCTCATCCCCCTGCCCCCGGCCAGCTTCATCTCTTGCCACGTCCATGCAAGAGCTTTGCAAGCTCTGGATCCCTTGGCACAACAAAAGATCAATCTGAATAAACTTATTAAAGGGGATGGATCTCAGCAGTTTCTTACCCTTATCTAATTTTCTCCATTCCCCTGCTGCAGGAGGGATTGGACCACTGTGATTTTTAATTTTCTTTTGCAAGAACAAGCACTGAAACAACAAAATTATGGAAAAAAAATAAAAACAAAAACCAAAAAAACAAAAACACACAACAAAACCCTCTGCCACTCTGCAAGAAAGGCGTTACCATCCTCCCGCTGCCTTGGCACTGGCAAATGCTGGGCACTGTTGTTTTTTCTAAGAAAAGTTGAACTCTTTGAGTGGTTGCTATTTTAAATAGCTTGTATGTTGGTGTTCAAACAGCAGCAAGACCCGGATATGCAAAACTCATCTGTCATTGCACTATTGTCCGCGTTCCTGGCGCGGCTTCCCACGGCTGTTAAGGCACCGGTGGCATCGGGTGACCCCAGCAGCAGGTCTGTGGCCATCAGGCACTTCAGGTTTTGGTTGCTTGCAGCAGAAAGGGGCTGAATTCTCCCCCAAAACCCCACACATTACCCCGAGTGGTGCTGCCTGACAGCACAAGGAAAGCTTGGAAAGAAATCCAGCTGTGAGGTCCGTGAGAAATGGTGGTGCCAGTGGCAGAAATGCATTTTTTTTTCTTTTTTTTTTTTTTTTAAAGCTAATAAATGAAAATCAGATGATGGCAGCAGCTGGGGCCCAGGCAGCTGATCTGGGGCCATCTTGGTGCAGTGTGGGGTCAGCTGCTGGTGCTTTGCCCCATTGATGTGCGTGTGCACGGAGGGATGCATGGGCCCAAATTCTTGCTGCCGGGACAGAGCAGCTCTTGCTTTCTGTCCCCCAAAAAGCAGGTGTTATTTTATGGCTGCAGATTGACCCCTTTTAAAAGCTTTGGGGATTACGTTTTTCTTTTTTTTTGGCATTTTGTTTGGCTAAAAAATAACAGAAACGAGAGAGGCTTGGGCTGCAACTAGAAGGACGCCGAGCATCACCGCGGCCAGGGTTGAGATTCTCCATCTCCTAATCACCATTAGCAATAACAGCGCGGGGCAGGGTGGGGAAAAATTAAATATTTGAAGAGGAAAACCTGCCTCCCTGCTCACCACACCGCGGGGCTCCAGCCCTGCAGGTAGTAGAGGCAGGGCAGGTAGCGGGCACCTCCGTGCAGTGCCAGCAGCGGGGCTGGGGGTGGCTCAGCCACTTTGCGCCCAGGCTCGAGTCCGCCGAGGTTGGATCCCCCCAGCCTCCTCTTGGTCTTGTACCTCCGGTTCTGGAACCAAATCTTCACCTGGGTCTCGGTGAGCTGCAGGTTTTGGGCCAGGTGGGCTCGCTCCGGGGCCGACAGGTATTTCTGGTGGCTGAATTTCCGCTCCAGTTCCAGGACCTGGCTGTGGGTGAACGCCGCCCGCGAGCGTTTCGCTGGTCGGGGGGAGGCTCGCGGGGCACGGGGCAGAGATTTTTTGGGAGGGACGCAGTCGCACAGGGGGGTCTCTGCCGTGGCATCTGCAGGAGGAAAAGGCTGAGAGTTACCTGCTGGGAATTTGCCCAAATTGCTTTTTTCCTTGTTTATTAATTGCCCAAAATCACTTCTTTCCTTGCTTTTTTTTTTTTTTTTCTTCTTCTTCTTTCTTATTTTTATTTATTATTATTATTATAATAATAATAACAATTATTATTATTAATTATTTATTTTCTATCCCTTTCTATAGACTAAAATATTCACATTACCCTGGAGATCTCTCTACCTAACGGAGTGAACTCCCCACTTTATTGAATTAAAGTCACAGAAGGGAGATGTTTTCTCCCAAATACCACCCTCTCCTAATTCATACATGCAAACATCCAAGGAAAAACAAACCCAGAAAGGGACAATTTTCACTGCTGGTGAAGTTCTGCTTAGAAAATCAAGGTACTGCAGTTCCATGCGTTATGGCCCTGGGATTTTTATGGCATCGGGCACTTTTTGGAAACATCCCCTTTCCCTTGAAAGGGAAAATAAGTTTCCATCCTCGAGCTAACGAGCACCTCCTTTGCTCAGCTTTTGCTTCTTTTTAACTAAAACCCCACAGCCTGGAGGCTCTCTATGGGCTAGGAACCGGATCAGAAGACAAGCTGCAACCTTCCCCTCCCTGGGCAGCATCACCTGTAGCTGTGAAAGCTCCCCAAGTGCATTTATTTAGGCACTTAGTTCCTTTCTCTGTGTATTACCCAGCTTGCGGTGGAAACGGGCCAATTTTTTTTTTTTCCTTTAGTCATTTCTTAGTATATTTTCTTAAGAAGCGAACATAATGCTCGGGATGGAAACAATGGGCTTAACTCCCAGCTTGTGTAAATCATCCTAGCCCTGCCGAAATCCCTGGAGCTGTGCTGATTTACACTAGCCGCGTTCTGGGAGATTTGTTACGGCTTTTAATGATTTTTCTTAATAACCGGCTGGGTGGCTGTTTCAGAACTTGCTTTATATCGGAGTTTCTTTTAATAGAATCGGCACGTAAAGCCAAAATTCCCCTGGCGAGGTCTCTTTTAGCAAGTAAGAGCCAGGCACTGGGGAGTTCAGGGTTGCTTTTTGGATGCCGCAGCCCAGCCTGGCTCGTGCAAGGTGCTGCAGGCTGGGAGGGTACGGGAAAGCAAACAGAGAGCGCAGCAGCAGCACCGTGCTGACAGCTGCACCAAGGACCAGGCTATCACAGAAATGGGCTTTTTATTAAACAGAGTTACAGGTAGCTCCAGTCCCTGGACTTATTTGAAGCACCTGGTGAAAGCTTGGCACGCGGCTGCTGCTTCTCCTGCACTTCTGGCATTTCAAGCATTTTTTTTTTTTGGCTCCAGAGCAGCCGGGTTGGGATCCAGCCCCTTGGCTGACCCAAAGGTGGGCATCCTGGAGCCATTCCAAGCCCCAGGGCTCAGCGGGATCTTCCCATCCCCTTACCTGTGTCCGCATCCTGGGGCTGGGCTGGGGATGCTCCTGGGGCACGAGGGCTCCTGGGGGGGTCCCCTGGGGCAGCCCCCGGTTCCCCATCCTCCGGGCTGCCAAAACCTCTTCTCTCACTCTGCTCTGCCCGTGTTCTCCGCTCAGCCCCATCCCAGAGGATGTCCTGGATGAGGAAGGATGTCCGGGGTCTGGATGAGGTGGGCACGGTCTTCTGGGGGCTGCTGGGGGCTCTCTGCCCCCCTGGGGGCAGCACCCCAGCACTCATCTCCTTCTCCTCCCGCTGCCCACAACCTCACTGCCTTCCCACCCTCCTGGCTCCGCATTTATCCGGCCGGCGGCCAAGCCTCCAGGGCCTGATTGGAGATCAGGCAGGAGTCTACGCCCTTCGGTGGTGTCTTGGCTCCCGCAGGGCTTTTTGCTGCTCCCTCTCCTTGTGCAGAGCCTCTCCCCGGGGTGCCCTTCCCCACCGATGTGCCAAACCTTCCCCCTGGGCCAGCAGCTCACCCCGTGGCCTTTCTCCTAGAAATGATAAGAGAAAGATGCCCAAGTGAGTTCATCCTTTATGGGATCCAAACGATCCCGGTTTGGGGTTTTGGGGTGAGCAGGGGCAGCACTGGCACAGCCTTGGTTGGGTGCTGTGGGCGAGCAGAGCCCAGCAGAGCATCCCCTGCATCCTCCCCACAGCCCCAGCAGGACGATGCTCTGCTTGCCCTGGCTTCTGGGAGTGATTTATGTCCAGGGCCATCCCTAAAACTCTTTTTGTCTCTGTATTTGAATAATTTTCTTCAAAACACTTCACTTCGATGAGCTTTCAGGTTGTTGGAAACATGGCAAAGACATTTCCATCAGCTTCACAAAGCTGCGCTAAGAAGGGCTGGGAGACAGAGATGTAACAGACAGGGAGAGTGGATCCAGCAGTAAATGCTTGCACAGAAAAGGGCAGAAGATTCATGTGAAAAATTAAGCCTAAATCTCAGACTAATTCCTCAGCCAGCTGCGGAATGGGACAGCATTTATTTAAGGAATCTCAAAGCCTTCCCACTTGTCCTGTAAGACCCCACATTCAAAGGCACCAGCAAAGAACTAAATCTTGCTGTTTCCAAGAAAAAACACAGCTGAACTCCCCAATCACTGATTATTATTATTTTTTTTGAGAGCCCCCTTTATTTGCACTTGTTTTTCCTGTGCTTCTGTCTCCAAAAAAACCTTCCCTAAAAAAGGGAAACTACAGATTTCCCGAAATCCCCCAAGGACTTCGCTGGGGCTTTATAGGCAGGTGTTTGGTTACGGCAGCTGTACGCTCAGAAAACTTCAGCAGCTTCAATATTTCAGCCTCATTATGCTCTTATCAGCTGGGAAAGGCAATTTGGCAAGATTTATGAAGCAATTGGAGCCCAGCAGTGCCCCGCAGCAGAGATGTTTCCAGTTGTCCTCATGCCCCCGCCGCAGCGGTGCTGTGCAGGTGGCTGTGGACCAAGAGCCATGGAGTGATGCTGAATGCAAAAAAAAAATAAAAAAATAAAAAATAAAAAATGGAAGGAACAGAACAAAATTTCCCAGAAACTTCCAGAACAATAAATTCATACAAACCAAATCACAACAAAAACCCATAGCTCAGCGAGTTTGCAAAGAGAGTCAGAAAATGCATTTTTTTTTCAGGCATTTGCAACTGTTTTGGGCTCTTGCCCAAAAATGTGAACAAAAATGTGAAAAAAAAAATATGTGAGCTGCCCAGAAGTTAGGCTTTCTCCTTCCTTCCAGAAAATCCTTTTATTCCAGTTGTACCCATTCCATTTTCCTATAAAGTCGGGCTGGGGCTGTTGCACCTCTGCTTTGCCATGACTCCGACACCTGATGCTGTCCATGCACTCAGCACCTCCGTCTGTCCTGGGCAGCCTCATTGCACAGATTTCTTTTTCTCAAGCCTCTTTTCCTTTTGTTTGCTGGCTAAAGAATAAGCTGTAGCTGGTGAGAACTGAGCCTTTGGGTCCAAAAGAGGGATTTTGAGGATGTGGCGTTGGTGGCAAGTAGCATGGGAACCCCCCTCCTTGACCATTGCTGAATTCGCCGCTGGTCTCGAGTGAAATTTTGGCTGATTTGAGAGTGTGGGTGAGTTTGGGAGAGACCTGCCTCATTTTTCAGTGGTTGGTGCAGTGAATTTCTAATTTGGGCAGAAGACTGGAGGGATTAAAGCAATGGTGTGCACCACAAGCTCACCCCAGCAGGTAGGAGGCAGAGGGATCCCACAAACACCGGGGGTTTTAAACATCTCCTGACCCTGGGCTTTTGGGAAGCCCCTCTCAATAGATGAAGGGCCATAAATGATGCTTCAGACCTTGTGAATCCCATTCTTAAGCTTAAATATATTTATAGGGAGATGGGTAGGTAAATGTACAAAGCACTTGGTGCCAATGGATCCTGATTCAGGGCACCTCTTGGTTCAGCACTAACATTTTTTTTTTCCTTTTAATCAGCTTTTGATGCAAATTGTGGAAGGGAGAAGTTAAAATACTAAATGAGGAATGGTAGGGGAGGGAAAACCACACACTTTCACCTTTTTTTTTAATAGCAAATAATAATAAAAGAGACAGAAATGAACACCTGTGCTGGGAAGTTATTAAGAAATACCACTCAGAAATGGATCCCAAAAGATCAGAGGAACTCAAAGCATTAAATAGAGCATTCATATAAAAAAAAAGTAAAGGCACAGTGATGCAGCCCCTGCTTTCTGGTTGTCCTTAGGAAGAAATCCAGTGTCCACAGCCCTCTGCACAGCATTGCACCGTCTTCCTGGAGGAGCAAATCCCCCGTGGGAGCGGGAGGATGGACCCCGATACATTTACATTCAAATAAATAAATGCTCTCGGTGGTGGGGTCCTCGGGGTGCCCCCATCTCCTTTGGAGGGGCCGGACAGACACAGCACATCCCACTGGCAGTGCTCCTCCACCCCTCCGGGTGCTCCCATCCCTTTCCTCGGCCACCCCCAATTTCTGACCCCCTCTCACGAGTGCGTGGGCTGGTGCTGAGCCGTGCCCCAGCTCACGGTGCCAGCACCCCAGCGTAGCCCCCCCCAGAGCTCCCAGCATAGGGGCTGCTGCTATAGGCACCGTAGCAGCTGCTATAGGGGCACGGGCTGCCATAAGGCGCTGGGTAAGGCTGGGACCCCCCAAAACAAGGTTTGCCGTCCCTGACCAACACCGGCACCGCCACCCTGCGCGGTGGCAGCGGGTGGGCTGCCAGCTCCAGGGATTTGTCCTGCCTTTGCCTCTTGCACTTGTAGCGTCGGTTCTGGAACCAGATTTTCACCTGGGTGGAGGTGAGCTTGAGCACGCTGGCCAGGTGCTCCCTTTCGGGAGCCGAGAGGTATTTCTGCTGCTTGAAGCGCCGCTCCAGCTCAAACACCTGAGCCTGGGAGAACAAAACGCGGGGTTTTCGCCGGTGTCGCTGCTTGGGGTGGCTGCAAGGGTCGCTTTGCTTCTCCTCTGCCTCCAAGGGGTGGGCGAGCAAACGTTTCCCTGCAGGGAGCAAAAACCCAAAGCAAAGTGAGCGCCCAGCCTGGTTCTGCTGCCGGAGAGAGCGTTAAATTGGGAGTGGGACCCCTTGGGAACGAGACGAAGCAGGGTTAGCAGCTGCTAAATTTAATATGAATTTTTACAGCAATGCTTAATGGAGATTCAAAATTATTATTATTATTATTATTATTATTATTATTATTATTATTATTATTATTATTACTATTACTATTGTTATTATTACTATTATTATTGCTGGAATTAGGGGTGTGACTGTCGCATTAATTTTGGATACTGCCTCTATTTCATCCTTTTGTGGCAGTCCTGTCCCGGAGGGGCACAGGGATATGGGATGTGCTGCAGGTTTGAGCAACCCCAAAGCACAAATCCCCTTCCCCACATCCTGCCCCCCAGGGATGGAAGCGGCCCCAGGCAGGATTTACCTCCAGCACCCGCACCTCGCAGTGCCCTGAACTGAAGCCAAAGGAGCAAAACGAAGGGGCTGGGAATGCCGGAGGAAAACCCATTAATTTTACAAGAAGATGCAAAGTTATTATGGTTATTATTTTGTTATTAATCGTTTTTTAAATTATTATTATTATTATTATTTTCTTTCTGGGGGTCTTGTGCATCACCCCGCTGCCTGCGGGATGTGCTCGGGTCCCCTGGGAACTGCAGCAGGGGCTCAGGGGCTGTAGGGGGGCTGCGGGGCAATGGGGTGCTGGGGGGCTCCCATCCGGCCCCCCCGGGGTGCTCTCGCCCTCCCCAGCCCCCTGGCTCCGCATCCCAGTGCCTCCCAGTGCTCCAGCTCTGGTCTTACTGGTTTTCCCGTTTTTTTTTTTTCTCCTCTCTGCAGCCGCCGTGCATCAGGAAAAGGTGAGCAAGGGAAAATTCGCCCGATTTAGGTGGGGGGAACCGGGGGGGGCCTGAGGATGCCCTCGCCCCCTTCCAGCCCCCCCCCGGTGCCCGCAGCCGGCTCCGAGCAGCCCCAGGACGGCGATGCCTTGGGGCGGCTTCGCGGGGACAATTTAGGGAGCATCGAAACGGGACTTTGCGCCCCCCCCAAAGCGCCCCCATTTGTGCCCTGGGGCAGGATCAGGCCCAGCGCTACCGACCCGGCTGGGCTTGGGGGGCTCCGGGGTGCCGGGGGGGGGACAAAGGGGGCGACACCGGGACCTTCCCGGGCGCTGCTATGGCTTGGGAGAGGTGGGAAACGGGGGTCTGCAACCCCCGGCCCCCCCCAGGGGAAGGGGAATGAGCCGGGTCCGCTTCGTTCCCCCCCCCGTCACCCCCCCGTGCAGCCGGTGCAAGCGCCCCGAAATTAAAAAATAATAATAATTAAAAAAAAGGGGGGAGGATAACGGATGGGAAAAGTAAAAAGGGGAAAAGGGGAGAAAAGAAAAGGGAGGAAAAAGGGGTGGAGGGAGAAGGGGGGGGAAAGGAGGTGAAAAAAAAACAGACGGGGGGGGGATGTAGGAAAGCCGGCATCTCGCACCCCAAGCAGCGGGGAAAGCCGGCTCCTCGGTATTTGGCCCCGAGGGGGGGTGGTACAAAAAGGGGGGGTCCTGGGGGTCCCCTCGGCTCCCACTCACCCGGTGGCGGCGGGGGCGGGCGGGGGGACGCGCCCCCCCCGTCGGGGCTGCTCCCGGCCCCGGCCCCGGGGGCTCCGGGGGCGCTCCGCCGCTCCAGCTCCAGGATGTCCTTAACGGAGAAGGGGGTGGGCAGCATCTTTCCGACGGGGGGGTGATGTGTGAGGGGTGGGGGGGCAGCCGGGGGGGGGGTCAAAATGGGGCTGTGCGCTCCGGGACCCGCTCCCCGGCTTTTGCCCTCCCGTTGTGGCAGCACCAGGTAGGGAGACGGGGGGGGTCCCGGGGATGGTTGGGTTGGGGAGGGGGACAGGGGAGGGCGGGTCGCTGCCCCTCGGGGGGGGCGGGATGCTCTGCCCCCCCCCTGCAGCCCCCTTTTACCCAGCCGAGCCCCCCCCGACGGCTGGGTGGGGAGGAAGGAGCCAGACCCCTTCACCTCTGTATTTCCAAAACAAGGGGATGCGAGGCCGGGCGGAGAGGGGGGGGGTTAAGAGGAAAGGGGGGGGGATTTGGGCTAAGCTGCAATAAAACAAATCGAGCCGATCTGAGCTCCATTAAGGTCACATTAGCGAGCGGCTTGGGGAGATAAGGGCTGATAAGGCGGCGGGGCGCAGACCACCTAGCTCCTGCGGGGCGGGCGGGGGGCTGCCCGGAGCCCCCACCCCATCCCAGTGCCCTCCCAGTACGTCCCAGTGCTGTTCTGGTGGCGGGCGGTGGGCTGGCAGCTCCCCAGTGGGGTATAAAGTGGGGTCAGGGTCCCCAAAAAGAGCAGCCCCATTTTGGGGAGGGGGGCAATGGGGGGGCTCTGGGCAGCCCCGCTGGCCGCGGGGTGATGCTGGGCCTTATCTGGGCTCAGGACCGGCAATTTCAATTAAAATTCCTGGCCGGCCTCTGGGGCTGGTGTCTGCTGATAGCCCTGACAGAGCAGAGGGACTTTTTTTTGTCTGGGTTGGGGCAGCATCTCCCGCGCCACCGAAACAGCCCAACGGGACGATTAGGGGAGGCTGAATAAATAAACGGCCCCGACGCAGGCAAGGAAGTGAGGGGCTGGAGCAGGAGGGAAAATAAATACAGTGGCTTGGCCAGAGAGGTGCTCGCAGAGCCACAGGTCGGTCCTGCTCTCTGCGTGATGCTCTCGGGTTTGTTCCCATCCCCTGCGGGCTGTGCTTTGAGTTTTTTGGGTATCCACTCCCCGGGACATCCCTGTGCTGGTATCACAGTGCTGTTATTTCCCAGTGTGATGTAAGGATTGGGTCTGAATCCATCACGAGACACACGGGGCTCACCTTCCCCATGGGAAACACTGCGAAACACCTGGAAATACTTTTTTTTTCCTCCTTTTTTAAATTTATTTTTTATTTTTAACCAGTGTACAGCTTCCCAGACCCCCCAGCTTTCTAATTCCACGAAGGACCGATATTGCAGCCCATTTAAAAAATAATTGCTGCTCCCCTGGTCCACAGGGCTCCTCTTGGTGCTGGGCATGGATGTGGGCTTTGCTGCTCTGCATCATCTTCACGGCAGAGCCCACGGGCAAAGCTCAGTGCTCGACCCCATCCCTTGCAGCCCCTGATGCCCTCATCCCCAGCTGGATTCATTGCCACGTCTAAACGGGGCTGGAGAAACACGGAAAGGCGAGAGAGCAAACAGGCAGTAACATTACACCTTGGCTTGTTGATGGCGGGAGGCAGCCGGCGCCAAGGTAAAATGCTTGGCTGCGATCGAGACGAGCAGGAAGGAATCGGGGTAAGTAGCTTTATCCGCCCCTAATGACTCCGTGCCGCGGAGATTAATGGAGTTTGGCTGGACGAGCTCTCGGGGCTGGAGGAGGCTCTGGATGGGGCGAGCTGGGGGAGAAGAGAGCTGAAATCAAGGCAGGATTAGTGCAGGATTAGGGGGCCAGGAGAGCCCCCTGTTCCCCGTCCTGCTCTGTGTGCCCCATGGGACATGCGCAGCCCTCCCTCACCTGCAGCATCCAGAGGCGTCAGTGGGGTTTGTAAATCATCTCCAGCCAAAAGCTGTGGCCAAACCAACCCAATCCCGGGCTCGATCCCGATGTCAGCCCCCGCTGGAGGTGGCTGGGCTCAGCCCATCAGTTGCCCTGCGCCTTGGCACAACGCTGGGGCAGCGAGAGGAGCAATCACAAAATAAATCATCAGCTTCTCGACTGGCGAGCTAATTTCGTTATTTCCACCCAGGGACATCGCTGCTCTTGTTAACTCGGTCAGATGAAACCAGGAGAAAGCTGCTCCTGGCCCACTGCTCGTCTGAATTGGGGTATTTCTGATGGCAGCTCCTGAAGTATCCGATGTCTGGAGCTATCGCTGGGACTCATCGAGGTCCTGCTGAGCTGCCAGAGCATCCAAAGCATCCAAAAAACACGACCGTGCCTGAGCCAGGAGGTTTTGTGCTCAGAGCAAGACGGGAATTGTGAGTGAGGGGGATGCTCAGGGGCTTGCAAGCTCCCAAGTGTGTGGATGCTGCTGAATTGCTGGCCAACGTTTTGTGATACAATTGTAAGTGGATTTGAAGGGTTTTCTCCATCCTCTTCTTCTTTCCAGCTCCTTTACATCCTTGTTCGTTGGCGAAATAAAATAAAAAAGCAGAGAAAACAGAAGTGACGGCAGAAAGCAGGCGGCAGGACGGGTGAGGGAAAGCAGAGATCCTGCTGCAGAGCTTTCCAATAAACACCATGGGGGAAAAAAAAATGAAGAAAATTTTTCTCTTTTCAGAATCCGTGGCACAAAAGTAACGTTGAAACCTTAGAAAGTTTTTGTGGTGCAGAAATTGAGGCTGGGCTGCAACCAGGGCTGGAGTGGAAGGGGAAACTTCACATGATGATGCCCAGGAAGGATGGGCACGAGGCTGGAAAGCCCAAACTGGAGCACACAGTTATCTCCTGCCCTCTATTTTTCTCCTTTTTTCCCCATTTTCCCCATCTCTGAACCTTCTGAGCCAAGCCAGAGCTTCCCAATCGCTCGGGGATTAAGCAGATGGATGGTTCCTTAAACCCACTGGGATTGCGCTGCCAAAACTCTGCAGCAAAAAAAAAAAAAAAATAAATCCTGCTCCAAATCCTTGGCCAGCAGTGCCCTCTGCTTGGCCACGGGGGACGTGCAGCTTGCTTGGCTGCCCAAGTTCAACGCCGAGCAAAAAAGAGAGAAAAATAAAATAATAATAAAAAAAAATAGCAAAAAAAAATCTAATTTGCCCACCAGGGAATGGGTCAGCAGGGGAGGGACAGCTGAGATTTGGGGCTTGCTGCCCCATGCCAGGAGGATAAAAATACCCATCGGTGTTAAAAGTGTGCTCACCATCTCGCAGACCCAGAATTATTTTTAAATGGGGTTATTTTGGTGAGCTGGCATGAATAATTCAGTGTCCCCCAGCGCTGCCAGGTGGAAGGAGTCTGAACTCCCAAAAATTACATTTTTTCCCTCCTTGCCTATCACTTTTCCTAAGGGGACAGAAATTTTCTCATCTTTGCTCTTTTTTTTTTTTTTTTTTTTTTTGCTGTGATTTGGCCAAATCCCTGAGGATGCCTGCAACACAGAGCCGGGGGGGAGGTGGGGAGGGGATGGGTGCAAGCAGGCCAGGTGGGTGCTGAGGTTTTGGGTGCTGCATTTTGGGTGCTGGGGCCACGGAGCAGGCGGTCTTCGGTCGGCAGGTGGCACAAGAGCAGAGGCTGAGCGAGAGCCTACAGAAAAAAAAAAAAAAAAAAAAAAAAAAAGGATTAAAAAAAAAAAAAAGTGCATGGCCCTGCAGCTTGAAGAAGTTCAGCTGGGATGCTGCAGAGCCCTGCTGGTCCCCTCCGGCCGCCTCCGTAATAAATAAATACATAAATTTTATTTTATTTTATTTTATTTTATTTTATTTTATTTTATTTTATTTTATTTTATTTTATTTTATTTTATTTTATTATCTATCTTATTTTATTTTACCTTATCTTATTTTATCTTATTTTATTTTACCTTATCTTATTTTATCTTATTTTATTTTACTTATTTATTTGCCCCATGCTCCCCCTATATCTCCACTGCTCTCCACCCCATACTGTGCAACCATCAAGAGCTGTACCTGTGTAACTTCTTTCTGGCTTTGTTAGGCTGGTGTGAAGATGTGCTGGGGTTTGCTTTCTGCTTTGGAACAACCGGGAGGTTTGCCACATGTGCTTGGTTAGTGTGTCTTTATTATTTTATTATTTTATTTTATTTTATTTTATTTTATTTTATTTTATTTTATTTTATTTTATTTTATTTTATTTTGTTTTGTTTTATTTTATTTTATTATTTTATATTTTATTATTTTATTCTTTTCTTTTTGGTAACGGAAGGTATTTATCTAGATTGAGGAGCAAGCGCTTGGCCACCGGGCCAAAAAGCAACTTCAAATATCTGAGCTCAACAAGCTCCCAAAGTAAGAGGCTTTGATTCATTTTCTCTTTGATGTCACCCATGGATGCTGCGTGCCGAAACGCTCAGCTTGGTGATCTTGAAGTCGACCGCCGCCTCGAATAATTCACAGGGCAGGGGGAAATGCATCACGCATTATCAGCTATTACATGTCATAGATTTCCTATTTGTCAGCCTTACCCACCCTTAAAACACATAAAACTGGCCGTGAGCAACTTCCTGAGGCGCAGCTGCAGGAGATGCTGGGAATGGGGTGAAACCCGTGCTAAGGCACCCGGAGGTCACCCCGAGCAGCCCGTGCGGTGGCATCATCTTTGGAATTCATTTTTTCAGGTTTTTTTTGGATTGTATGACACAACCTCTAAGGGGGAGCTGTGGGATTTTCCACTCTCAGACAAAAAAGCTGCCAAAATGCAGCAGGTTGATGCCCTCGGTGCTTGCATCCCTCCAGCTCCCTTCCTGCAAGCCCCAGATGTCTGCTCCCTCTGCTGCACCATTTCTGGACGTTCTAACCCCAAAAAACCCTTTGGTGGTGTGTGGCCACTCTGGCTTTATCCAGAGACAGGATTTCAGTGGTACCCACCCCCCTTTGGTCCCTCCAGCCCCACGCAGCCTGCTCTGTGCTCCAGCATTTTATTTTCACAGCAGAGCTGAGGTTTCCCTCTCCTATTCAGATGAGGTTACAGAGCAGGGGACTGGGGATGCTGAGGAGCCAGGAGGATCCTACAGA